TCCTTCTTTTTTAAAAATTATCATTAATTTTAATTACGTGCATAAAATTATATTAAATATATTATTATCATCGTTTCATCCTTGACGGATTAATTTTTACAAGACTAATGTAGTTGGTACTTTGAACATGCTGGGATTGGCTAAAAGAGTCGGTGCGAGGTTTTTGCTAACCAGCACTAGCGAAGTATATGGTGATCCTTTAGAACATCCACAGAAGGAGACATACTGGGGCAATGTTAATCCTATTGGTAAGATTTTTTAATTTCTTTTTCTATTTTCTATTTTAGTTATTTTCTTTTTAAAAAAATTCTTCAAAATCTCTTAATTTTAATTTTCACATTATATATTTTATTAAAATGCACGAATAAATTGAAACGAAAGAATTACGATGCACGTTAGCTATGGTCTTTTGATGGTTCATGGTAAAAATGTGGAGCCACGTGTTGAACGATGATGAGTGCTAATGACGTTTCTGTCCTTAGATCGGGTCGGGAAAATTATTTTAATTTAATTTTTTTTTGTCAACGATGATACCGTGATTTGCGGGTCCGGCCGCTTCATTCACCTATCTTTATGTCTTTCATTTTAATTCAATTGGCGCGCCCTTTTCTATTCAATCTTTTCTCTCTTTTATTTTGTCCTTGAAAAATTAAATTAGCTTAAGTAATTACTTTCTTGTCTTTTTCTTTTTTTCCTTTTATTTCCTTTTGAGTCTTTTGATATTTCACGTTTCGATTTGTTTGTTTAATTTTTTATTTTGTTTTAAAAAAAAGTTATGCCATGTTTAAGATAATAAAGATATAAAAATATTTTAGTATATTTCACTTCTTTCGTACGATAATAATAGTTGTTCACTATGTTATTTTGGAATGTTCAATAATATTTTTTCGTTTTATCAAATAATAGATAATTTTTGAATGACCTAGTTTGACTTGGAACGGAGTTTAAAAAAATAAAACAGACATTTTAAACTTGTGATTCTAAATTAAAGTTATGTCTAATGTACAAAAATGTCATTCATGCCACGTGGAAAGTTAAAGTGAAATTGTTGCCAAAAAAGCAAAGAGATTATTCTTTTGAATCAGACTAAAAAGGAAACAATGTTATTCTTTTTGAAACGGATGGAATATTTATTATATTCAAAGGGTGATACAGTAAAATTATTTTTTTATTTATATTTTCTATAGTAGACAAGTATTATTGTACATATTTTGATTTAAGATCATATAATTTAAAAAAATTGCTTTGTTTTGGTAGACTCGGTATTAGTCAAAATATGAAAAATAAATTGACAAAACGGAGGAAGTTACCATGACTATAATATTATCAATGTGATTCCACAAATGGAGTCTGTTGAACTCTTCCTTTACATGAAGGGAATGAATGCCTTAATGGAATGGAATCCGGGATCCAAGTAGATTAGGTTAAGGCAAGTATGAGTAGAGACTCTTTTCGATAACTTTGAAAAGCTTTATAACAACAACCAGTGAAAGAAATATAATAGTGAAACAAATTGTGTTTGTTTAACTACGAAGAAAGAGAAATAAATATAGTTGGACAGGTAGTAGTTGAATTATTATTGAATTTGTATAGAATATTAGATCTGAAATGTAACTTTAGTTTCCCGCAGACTAAGGAAGATGGTCTGTTTTGCCTTTTGTCTATTTTAATGTAAATGGTGGGGTTAACTGACCAAGAAAGTAAAACAGGTGTCCGAAGTTGCTACGATGAGGGAAAACGAACAGCTGAAACATTGACAATGGATTATCACAGAGGTGCAGAAGTTGAGGTTTGTGTTTTTTTTTAACCCATAGTCCAGATTAATGTTTACTGTACTTGTTGATAATGTAGACTTCATAGATACTGTAATTGTAACTCCTCTAGTACTACATTCTCAAGAAATATAGGACATTTGTCACCTAACGGTGTGGCCTACTGGTCAATGAAGCAGGATGAGAACCATGAGTTCTCGAGTTTAAATTCCAAGAGATACAAAAACACAAGTGATATCTTACCATTTGTTCACTACGTGACACATGTTGTTGGTGTGAGGTGACAGGTTTCTTGTGTAATTAGTCGAGGTGCGAGGAAAAATAAAATTAACAATCACTCTGGAGCCAACTGTTTTATTCCTTATTGCGCATGTACTTGATCATCGATAAATGTACTTTGTATCTAGTGTTTTTAAATAATGTACTATCGGTGTAGTTTAATCTATGATAGCAAGTTAGCTACCGTTTTTATCAGGTTACTAATTACTGTTTATCATAGATATGTATCTGAAATTACCTGTTAAGTAATTTGCTGGTAAAATTGTGTCGATGTACCTATGTTGTTACAGGTGAGAATCGCTAGGATCTTTAACACTTATGGACCTCGTATGTGTATTGATGACGGTCGCGTTGTCAGCAACTTTGTCGCTCAGGTGACTCCATTATTTAAATATAAACGTAAAGTTAATGGATTCTTAAACTAAGCAACAAAAAGCTTATATAAAATTTGTTTACAGGCTTTAAGGAAAGAGCCTTTGACAGTTTATGGTGATGGGAAACAAACAAGAAGTTTCCAATTTGTTTCAGATCTGGTACTTTTCTCTCTGTTCTTCGTTTTTTTTTAGCTTTTTTAATACGTTACCTTATTAGTTTTATATGCATTCTTTCGAAGTGGCTTTCAAATGTAAGATTCTTTAATAATTTGACTTGCCATCTAGCTTACAGTTTACAACATGATTAGAAAATAAATAAATTAATATCTAAAGTAGGGTCCCCCTACTCTGTTGCAAGGTAAAATATTGTAGTGTGGAAGCACATGCCATGTCTAAGTAGAAGCCAGATACCTGGGACCCGTATTTTTATTTCTATGTACTCCTTCTGTCTCAATTTACGAGATGTAGTTTTGATTGGACACGGAGTTCAAGAAATATGTGTGAAGACTTTGCAATGTTCCGAAGTTATGCTTAAAAAGAGTGTACCTTTGTGGAACTTTTATCAAGCAGTAAAACAGTAATAAAAGTATAAAAACCATGGTTTGTGACCTTGATATAACATAAGAAGGAATCTAAACTTGCTTTATTTTGGTTAATGTGAAGGTTGAAGGCTTAATGCGGTTGATGGAAGGAGAACATGTCGGACCCTTCAACCTCGGAAACCCTGGTGAATTCACAATGCTTGAACTTGCTAAGGTATGTAACGACACACTTCTAAACATCCAACTTTGATGTTGTGTTTCTTTTGCATTAGCATTTTACATTGTCGTCAAGCTACAAAATCAGATTTCCGAGGAAAGGATAGAATGTACACCGATAAAATCAGTTTCATACGGCAATCATTTTCAGTCTTAAATCTAAGTTAGAAGTGTCTGAGCTTCATCATATGCACAGCTTCAGACATATGTCAAGTATTTCCAATGTGGGCTCTGTGATACTTTTACCATTTTGTTGACACATTGCCGTCTTTAATTGAATGCTGCACACAGGTGGTCCAGGAAACCATTGACCCAAATGCACAGATTGTACACAAACCAAACACAGAAGATGACCCACACAAGCGAAAACCTGATATCTCAAAGGCTAAAGAGTTACTTGGTTGGGAACCGAAAGTGGCTCTTAGAAATGGTTTGCCTATGATGGTTCAAGACTTCAGGCAACGTATTTTCGGTGATCACAAAGAAGAAAGTGCAAAGATCACCACAGCTTAATAGAAAAGAAAAGTGTGTTATGTTTGGATATTTGTTAAACTTGGTAAGGGGTGAAACGCACGCGAAGAAAAGACGACTCTCTTGTGTTGATGTTAGTTTCAAGCAGAAGTGCAGGCAGCAGAAGACTGAGCTGAGCTCCCCATGTACTTCTTTTGAATAGTTGGTTCTTTGTCAATTTTGCAATTCTATTATTAGTATTATTATCCTTTTGTTAACAGTTGATGTAGTAGACCAACTTTCATTATTCTCATAAGAATAAAACTGGTACGTATTTTCCCCAAACTTATTTTGAAATCCTCATCTTGCTCACAGTGCAATATTTGTATGCGACTTCAATATATAATATATGCACACACACACTAGGCATGTTACTTGTGCTTCGAACGGGATTGAGCTCATTTATTAAGCTATCAGTAATATTTGTGGACATACTAAATATTGTCTTAACATTTTATCTTTAAGCAAAACTTAAAACGCTTACATAAGCATAAATTAATGATTATTAAAAGACATATCAGGGTTGTAACAATGGAACGAAACAAAAAGGAAAAGATGACCCTATAACTTCCGAGATTTAAAAGAATAGATCCTCTCAGGATAGAACATTCTAATCGCCAGTGCATCGGTACAAATACAATGGTGTAGTAAGCTACTCAACAGGAGCAGAGTACAAGAATATTCTTTTGTACAGAAGAAGAAAAAGTTGATGAAAATGCCCACATATAGCCAACAAAATGTAGTGTCAACAAATAATTATTGTGTTTTATCAAAAAGGTCACCTCTTTGAATAGTTACAGTTTTTAGGAACGGTCACAATCTTTCGAAACCTTTCATAAGATTACAACTAATCATAAAAATCACAAATTTTTCATTTCATGAAAGAGGAAGACTAATTTTGAAAATAAATAAATATATATATACCCATAAATGACCTACCCAATGTGGGACTATCCTACGCAGAACCAAATTTAGTTAGGCTCCAATGTGAGCATCAAACACCCCGTGGAAAAACAAAAAAAAAGGTAGATATAAAGAATAATTAATGATTAATCTAAAAAATAGCCATACCAAATCAATTAAACTAAAAATAACCAATAAAAGTATAAATACCGACTAGAAAAAGTAAACAATATGAACCCGCTTCTTCCAAAATTAAATTAGTGATGCACAGCATAACAGCCAAGGGTAATAATTTACTCTTGATATCTCCGTGCCTCTCAGTTTCAAACTCTCGATATTGCATTTGTCCAACCAATGCATGTGCCAGAACTAGACATAGTTAAATAGACAAGCACGCACGCAAATGGACAATGTATCTGGAGTTAATGCAAGACATTTACCGTACATATTAGCTGGTCATAGGATTCAACATACACAACAAGAACGTTAAAACTCCAACGTCTACAATAAGTTTGTGAAGAAGACAACAGTATATAGCATACCAGAACATCAAAATCTTATATCAAGTCTTACAGCAATCAAAGGTGGTGTTCTGCCTAGCCAAATTCCCGAATACGAAAGGTTATACAGAGCTGGTCCAAATCCTAGCTGCTTACAAGTTTTGCTCCAAAGCACAGAAATCCAATTCACCTGCAGTACACAAGTGTATTGAATTACTACCAACGATCAGATAATTAAATACAGGCAAACAAAAATGTGGGAACACCAAGGGAAAAATTAAGAATGTGCATAACCACACAGAAATGCATTTCAAGTAGAAAAAAGAAGACGAAATGGAACATTTTTGTATGCAGACAGAAATATGTCCAAAAACAACAAACCCCAGAATGAATCCCAACAAGTGGGGTTTGGTGAGGAGGGTAACGTGTACACAAAACTTTCCCCTACCTTGTAAGGTAAGAGATGATGTTACCGATAGATCTTTTGCTCAACAAGAGATAAAAGGGAAGCAGTGAAAACAATATATGTTCTCATGCTCTTCCTAATCCCATGCACTGCTCTAGCAGGAGAGTTTTTCGAGCATGAGGTTAGTTCTTTCAGTACCATTTTTACAGTCTTCATACTTCATTAGCTAAACTTGGAGAATAGAACTTGCAGATTTTAATCCACTAGTTTGTTTCCTGATCCCAACCTTGAGCTTCCTATCATATGTATACACATTTTTCTGATATTTATAGGAACGTTATATTTCATTTATTATAGATCTTCATAGTTCATCAGAAAAGACAATTATTTAAATGCTAAGAGTTAATCATTTTTGAAGTTCCAAATTTTATTTATGATAATAAATTGATAAATTTCACAATAATGGATTCAACAAATATTACTTAGCATTTACAGTTCTTATATACCAAACATTTGATTACATAATAGCAAGTTAAAAGGATATTGCACTTCAAACATGGACCAATTAAAGGAACTAGCTCATAATTCAAAGAAAATTACTCCAACCACTATGTCAAAGATCCAACAGTACCTCTCTACTTAGGATTTCGGAGGACAATGATCACAGAATCTCCCCGAAGGAACATCTTGCTGATAAACCTATCTTTGTTAACAGCAACAGCTTTCTTTTTTCCTTTTCCAGTCTTGGGCACCTGAAGAATAAACATAAACAACTTTGTTAAGTGGAGTCTTTTTGTACAAGTTTCAAATCCAAGACACATTGCCCTTAGGAACCTGAAGAATAATATAAACAATCTTGGTAACTGGAGCTTTTTGACGCAAGATACAGATCCAAGACACAATACACATTGTCCCAAAAAGTTGATTAAGTCAAGAACAAACAAACCTCAGTCCACATTTCTCTAACATTTTCAAGCACCATATTGCAGTGACGATCAAATGCTCTCACACGACCAAGAAGTTTCCTGTTGTTCCTACAGTTGATGAGCACCTAGATCCAGAAAAAATATCTGTAAGATAACAAGCACAAAGCTGATGCCTTCCACATACAAAACCGAAGCTTGCATCTTTTTCTATAGTATTTAAATCTAAGATTAATGAGGAAGTATACCGGCATGACTTTAGAAAGTAAATTGTCAACATAAACAAGGCTCCAGGATAGATTTTATCTCTCTTTTTAACAATTAAAATTGATAAATAAACACGACATGAAGAAAGACACAGTTGTAGGTGCTAAAGATATTAGATACCTGTGTGTTATTCTTAACACTCATCATGAGGACAGAAAGTGGCCCAGTATTGAACTCCTCTTCCTCATTTTTCCCTTGCTAGACAAAAGATCCATAGGCAAACATAAGACATCTTTCACAAAATCTGATAAGCAAATCATATTCACTGGGACTGATAAGGTTCATTCCTCTATCACACCAACATAGAAGGGCATACACTTTTTCACTATGTACTTAAGCTAGATAATCTACCAATTATACACTCTTTCACTATGTGCTTAATCTAGATAACTTTGAAGCAAAGCACTTTGACATCGGGAAGGCAGATAAGAAGCAACACAAATGGAAAATGAACAACAAGAGTACATGTATAAATAAACATACCAAGAATAAAAGACGAAATGTCAATAGGATGTCTGTTAAAGGAGAACTACAAAGTTTAGACCTAAGCACTTTAGGCATCGGGAAGGCAAACAAGAAGCAACTCAAATGGAAAATGAACAAGAGTACATGTATAAATAAACATACCAAGAATATAAGAAAAATGTCAATAGGATGTCTGTTAAGGGAGAACTACAAAGTTCGGACCTAGCTTCTGGGTTATCCAATGTGGTAAATGAGAAAAACTGACATAACACTTGTGTGAAGGTGGGAACAAAACAACTGTAGAAAATAAATTCTACTAATTCAACTAATAATTTTTACACTTGATAGGTTCTAGTTTTTACAGAAAAATTCATCCTAGCTACATTGTTATTTTAAAGTTCTAATTGATTTTGTCATTTGTTTTGAGTGGTGAACTCAAACGACTTAACCAAAAAAAATTCAATGACTTGATGTTATGTGCTGAAAAATATTCTACAGATCAAACAATTCAATGATCTTGCTTTGAAAAGGGAGGTATAAACATATTCTCCATATGATAAAATAAAAGATGTATGCTAGAAACTTTTCAGTTGTAACGTGTAAAGCAGGATCAAGGCTACCAACAAAAGAAATCTAATTGAATGCATCGCATTGAGGTGAACAGAAAGGAAAATGAAAACAAGTACTAAGCAGTAGACAGCCCCTAAAACACAAAATAGATCACAACACAGATTATGCCAATGAAAAAATGAGAAAAATAAACAATGAGAGCTTTGTATAGGGCAAAATACTAGCAAAGTAAGCTAACTTACAGGGGCATCCTCTTCCATTGGTCGACTGCAAAAGAGCACAAATAGAAAAGAAAAAGAAAAAGCAAAACAATTAGAAACTTCCACTTACTAATATTTGGGTAACACTAAAATCAACAGGAATAGAGAAATACATCAGCAATGAACAACAAAAACATGAGACACTGACCTAGTTTTTTCTTAATTCTATTTGTACATCTTACAGCCTTGTTATCCTAGTATTCTAGACAATATAAGGGTTCTATTACTGATGTGCACGGAATAACATAGGTTTTAAGCTTGGATATAGTAGAGAGTGAACAAAAAGAACTAAGATCAGTAGTAATAAAGGGCTAGAGAAGACTGAATTACTCGAAAATCCAACTTTACAATTGTTTAGCTACATGAAACCCAATTAGCATAGTGTTTAAACTGCATATAGAACTCGAAAAAAGAAACATTCCAGGCCTTCACGCCAAGCTAGTTGCCTTCAGTTATATGAATCTACTCACTCTAATTTAAACTTCCAAAAGCACGCAATACCCAAAAAAAAAAACTACACAAAATTAGTCCAGAAAACAGCTAAAATTCTTCAATTTCTCATCTCCTCGTCCAATAACTTACTTTACCTAGGGAAAATTATCTACTTCTTTGATTAACAATAACATTACATAATCTACTAAATAGGTTACTGCAATGACGAGAAAAAATCAAACAGAGAAAATTGAAGAACTTCAAATGTACAAAGGCAAAGTGTAAAATAGCAGTAAACCATTACCTCATCTTCGATCAAGCAGAAGAAATTGAAGAGCAACAAAAAAAAGTGGGCAAAGGAGCTAGGGTTTAAAGAGGGTAGAGGGAAACGGTGAAGTGAAAAATAAATTACACGTTCGGCGCTCTAGTTCAAGCGAGACTTATGGGCTTGGGCCGCTTTATACAAACAGATTAAAGCCCAAAATCCTCCAAGAAATTTACAAACAACAACAATATTTTACGAGGTCATTTCGTAGAATGTAAAAGAATAGTGTTGATTATAGTGTATTGGTAATACTGACATTAATAATATTGATGTTCGTTATGTTGAAATCAATTCTTTCGTAGGTTTGGTTTTGATATGCTAAACATAACATGCATTGTATATTTATTAAATAAATATTACTATTTTGTGGCGTAAAATAAGTGATAAAAGTTTGTACGGTGATAAATCATTTCATTAAGGATAAAATTAACGTTTGAAAGTTAAGTTATTACCATATATAGAAATATGACATTCATTGTTGTACTGACTAAAGTAATATAAACTGGGACATAAGATGAAATTGTTTACAAAAATATCATCCTGAATCTACCGGAAAGGATGTGGAAAATGTTTTAAGGGACAATTGTGTTTTTACTTGTGCTAATGTATGTACTAAAAAAACCTTGAATCGCTAATATCATGATTTCTTATGTATCATACATATATATATATATAACATGATACCAAAGAGAGTGTATAAATTGTGAAAATATATCAAACAAGATATTAATAAATATATGCATTATTTTTTCTAATGTATCCTATCAGATGATCCATAAATATATAGATAGGAAGGGTTGTTTGGATGGTGTTCATCCAATTTGAAGTTGTAGATTCGAGTTATTAATAACTCAAAAAAAGCATCAGCTTCTACAAAGATCTAAAAACAAATTAATATATTCTAGATTTACTTTTGAAAAATAAAATAACTTTTAGAAAAATTTACTAATATAATTTATCTAACTTTTTTAATTAAATCATTATACAATAATCTCTAAAATATCTCTCGTTAAAATGTGAATATGAATTTATTAATTTTTTTTGAATCACTAACAAGTTGAATTAACTTTTTGTCTTTTTAACTTGAATGACTCCATATAAAAATATACGTACAATCGAGAGAGAGATAAGTAATAAATTTTAGTGTACAATAATACACATCCTACATCCTATTTATTTTTATTTGTTTGTTAATGTTTGATAAATTAATTGTTTTAGATCAATTAAAGTGTTACTTTAATAGCCAAAACACACATTTTCTTGATAATACATTGGTTAAATATTTTAATATTAACTAGAATTTCACTTTAATAGTTTAAATCAATTTTGTTATCTAAATGTGAATTACAATGGATCATCTATATAATAATACATCTATGGATAAGGAACCTTGGGGCAAGGTAGGTAGTTGTGTCTCCTTCACGTGTATAACGCAGACAGTGGTCTAGCTAGAAATTTTATGAAAGATGTCTAAAAATCTTATAGTTTGTAGAAATAATTTAAAGAGTGAATGTACTTAAATTTTGTAAATCAAACTATATAACATTAATAATTAATCTTTTTAATTAAAATATACAAAAAATTTTAAAATCAAACTATATAATATTTAGTTTTACTGTTCACGTTTATCTGATAGGAAGTGAACCAACAAAGAAAAAGAGAGATATTTCAGTTTAGAGTGAAATCACGTTTATGCTTCAAAATTTCACAAACCTTTGATGACCAACAACGAAAAATGAAAAATAATGAATATAATCAAACGAGTTATAATAAAAGAAATTTATATAAAGTATTTTCATTTTTAGTAGCTTTATGGAATAAATAAATAGAATTTGCTTATTAACTTTAAATTAAATAATTATTTTTAAATTTTATTTAAAATTTTAATAAAAAGAATAGGATTTGCTTATTAACTTTAAATTAAATAATTATTTTAAATTTATTTAATTTTTTAATGAAAAGAAAAAAATCAAACTCAAATAACGAGAATCGAACCCGTGCACTGCACGTTGCAAAGAACTTAGCAAGAGTTGAAAATTAAAACCACTAAGCTAGAAAAAAATTATTAGGATGTCCAGCATGTGTTATTTAACCATTTAAATTACTATTTTACTTATAAATACAGTGTAATTTTCTAATGAAGGGTGATACCTTAGCCAAAGGGTAGCTACGCCCCTAAGTGTAAAGAGTTTTAGGAGTGAAAATAACTTTTAATGTCTACATTAAAATAAACGGTTTATATGAAACGTGCAGCAAATAGTTTATCCTGATACAAAGATTAGAAGCTATTTAGGTGCGATATTTTCTCAAATCTCGCTAATGTGATGTTTTATGCTTCGAGTTGTCTATCTAATTATTAATTATGTTAACCTATTTATGTGTTACATCATTTTGTCATCAACTTAGGTGCTAATTTACTTCATTAAACCATTTTACTTGGTGTATTATTGATTGATTTTTTTTGGATCAATTTAATGTTATAGTTAATTTATACATAACCTGATTGAGCAAAAAGGAACAAGACTACCAAGTGTAACCATCATTGAGCAACAAGTTTACACAAACATTAAGATATCATAAATAACTTAAAAGATTTTTCATCTTACAATATCTGGAAAACAATCTTTTTTTTATTCTTTGAAGCAATTCCGCTAGGTAAGGTGTGCCAAGGGCTAGTTTTATTAATAAAGAGAAAAGTACAAGCAAGGGGGCTAAGCCTTACCTTACTGACATCAAACCTCTACTAATTAACAAGCATAAAAAAAATAAAAACTAGAAAAAACTAGATGATTCATGACCATCGTAGAGTTTATAATACACTCTGTGATGATACTACTACAACAAATGAGGATGCTTAAATTTAAGAATAAAGCTAGGTTATCAACCTCAAACTTCATTTTATATTTGTAAGAATTTAAAAGAGTTGGATTGGCCGTGTAAAGTAACCTGAAGTATTTCCCTCGTCTTCATCATCAAATATGTCCAACAAAACTTCATAGTGTAAAACATGTTATTTTCCACTTCCTTGATAAATAATAGTAGTAACATTTATGCCACCGTAACGCGAATGAACAAATGAAGGAGATGCAACACGCCATATCTATCGATCAAGTTTCTACATAGATGAATGATGATGCATTCGACGTCCTTTCAATCCACACAGATAATTAGCTTGGGGACGCGTTCTATGTGGTTTTGTTTCTTTCATTGTTGCAGGTGAAGAAACTGTGTGCATCTCATATGGAGGAGTAGATGTAGCTCGACAAACTGATCTCTCGATTAAACTAGCATCACCAGTATTCTCTCCATTTCGCTTGTCAAGCCACGAGATGATATCTGAAAATACGATTTCAATGTTTTCTTCTGGCTCACCATATGTCAAACCATGCCACATTCCTGGATAGAGTTTTATAGTCTTGTCTTTGCTACTCGCTTGCTCGTATAAAGCCTTACTTATTTCTGGATCAGTTACTATGTCTGCTTCCCCATGTAACACTAAAAATGGTACAGTGACCTGTCGAAACATTTTCAACTACACATCATTTCCAGTTTCCAATTTGTCGGAATGATTCAATTATTGTTTACATGGAAGACGGTTAGGTAATAGTTACCTCGTGCAAACTTTCCTCAAGGTGCATGCTGGTTCTTAGCATTTCCAAAGCTGTCTTTAGTCTTGGCTTTGCCTGATAAATTAACTTGTTCTCGCGTACCTACACTTGCAAAATGACAAGAAATGGACATCATGTTTTGATGGAGGACAAGAATTGGATGCCGCACATCATTAATACTTGGAAGCTAGCAAATGTTGCATATTAACTTAACAATTAGCCTCACCTCTTCCCTTTTAGCGGGGTCCTTGAAGGCCGAATCAATGACATCCTTCGTAGGGACTATCTTCCATCTTGGTATGACATCCTCCACTTTAGTTAGTAAGCTTATAACCACAGGATGTGGCTTCACCTTCTCAGATATCTGGTGATTTTGCAATGCATTAGCAACACCATAACCGACTTCCAATGGTCCCTCAATACTAAATGCAAGCACTAAAGCATATATATTACAGTAAATGAGTTGAGACTAAAAATCTCAATAGGCCTACCTTACACATAGGTGCAACCAGAAGAGCACCATGCCAAAAGGAAGGATCCTTCTTGTGTGTTAAAAGAGCCACGGCCCCTCCCATCGACTCCCCATACAGAAACCGTTTTTTCTCTCTATACTCCTCCTGCGCTGATTTTCAAGAGAACGGGCATTTTAGCAAGAGGATAACAAGTCTGAAGCTTTTTAACAATTGTAAGATGTAACCACACCTATCAGGCTGAAAAATATTCAACTTAAATAAAGCTACTCCAAAAAAATCCCAAGCGAAAGGAAAATCAAAGATGGATTATTCGTCACTGTGACAGCTTCTGAGGTCAGGTGGTCTATACTTAACTGATAACAATGAGGGTTAGACTACTTGTGAACCAAGAGGGCATTTGGTAGCTTACCACAAACTGACTTGAAAAACTCGCTGCAGTCATTGACAATGTTGTCAAACTTTTTGATGTAACAGCGCGCACCCGCTGATCGTCCATGACCTTCATAATCTATTCCAAACACCGCATATCCATTATCTGCCAGCTTTGTCCCAACACCTATCCATAATAGTACAAATGTACAATATCTATGTTAAGTTGGATCTGTGCCACGAGCTTTCACAATTCTATTGTGCACAAGAAAGAGCATCAATCTATTGGCTTCATGCACGCATACGTAGCAATTGTGTGAGACTCTCCTTAGGTATATGGGGCTAGACAAAATTACAAACTTGATTTCTCATGTCACTCAACTTTTAGTTATGATCTCAGAAAGTTACCATCGTTGTTGAAGAAAATTGAAATCAAGAATATAAATGACTTTTTGAGATAATAACTATAAGTTGAGTGACCATATGAGAATTCAACCGAAGATTCCTCCAACAGTTGGTTGAACCACTCAAGACAGATGGATTGAGCAACGTCAAACACTGTAAAGTCACAACAGTATTTCAGTTATGTGTATAAGGTAATATTCCCATCTCCAAGTCCCACCTACTATTCTTTTTTTGAAAAACAGAAATAGAAGGAAAAGCAAATGTTTGATGACACATCATTTGTCAACAGAAAAACTTGGTAGAGGTTAGAGAAAGAATGCTAATACTCAAGGTGGTCCAGGTCAGAACAAAAAACTCCAAAATAGACTAGCAGCTAAAATCCCCTGGTCCAAGAATAAGAAAACCAGAAGCTTTTCTCACTGGAAGCCAAGTTGAACAGGTCAAGTAACATTTCAGAATATCTGTTTTCATGATAGTCGTGTCCGAGCTAGTACACACGCACCTCCTCGACTATTCTTCTGGCACCTACTACCTCATACCAACAGAGGTACAAGGTAACTTTGTTTGTCAAGGCTTAAGCAACATTTTAAAATATATTTCATTTTTCTTGTTTACTTTTTTCTTTTGAATAGTCAAAGTCTTAAAGTTAGATGACTCTTAAATGATTTCAGATGTACCTATCATACTTACCTACCATTAAAATCTATGTTATGTTTTAAACTTTTATGATTTGACTTGTTAAGTTGAATTCAAAGTGTCCCACAAATTTTGGTGTGTGAAGCAATCTTTAATTGAGGTTACTTATAGGGCCCAACTAATTTGCTAACCTAATTAATCTATCAAACTACCAAGATAGGACTTTTAATTTTATTATGTTTCTCAATAGTCAACCAACCTACCAGCAAACCATTAATCCTCCTTATTTTAGTAGGCAAACAATGAAGTTCCAACATAGCTGTTAATTAGCAAATTAACCAAAAAAGGACAAGAAACAGACTAATCATGCAGCTGTAAACCATATAAGGATGTTATTCAAGGGTAAAAATTACTTTGTTTCAGCAAATCTATAGTACCTTCAGTATGAGAGGATCAGTATGTTAGGTGAGTTTTCAGTCTGGCATTCAATTTGAGAACCATTTTTCGTTGCATTTTTAACTACTAGCTCCTAACAATTGCATTATTATATATCACCAATAATTGTGCCCTATAAAAAAGATATTCTTGTATAATAATATCCCACAACCAGATAAACATAATGCACATACTGCCAAGATAGCTAACATGAAACTCCACTTCAATCTCAAGCAAGCCAGTTGGCTATAGGAATCTTCACTGTCCATGTCGCTCTATTTAAGATCATCTTTATCGAATATAAAACAAAATAGAGACTGAAAAAGTATTAGAAGTTCTCAACAAAATAGGTAAATGACAAGATATGGGCACCAACTGAAACTCCTCTAAATTATTGTATTCAGCCAACTGTTCACAAATATATATAAAAAAAAAGGACTTTTAAAAAGATATGATAAGAGACATAAATTTTACTGGTATGGTTGGTCACCTAAAATAAAAATATAGGCAAGTGTAGCAGGAAAATGGCCCATATTGTACAACACTAAAATTAAGGTCACCTCACCACATAAATGGACCACCAAGACCAACAAGGGTTGTAGTGGAGTGCTAAGTTCTCCTTCATTCTTAACCACAGCTCGGGTTCAAGTGTCCTAGCTACAGAATACACTTTGTTAGGAAACGCTTTATCCCTATTGTTGGACTTCTGGCGCGAATCCAAATTTAATCGGGATTCAACTGAGTGATCAACAAAGAAAAAGAAATGAACCCCAAAAGCATAAAAAGTGGGTTCCTTTTTCACTGTTACTCTGTGACAAACTCAACAGGAAGAAAAAAGATGGTAGAAGTAAAACAATCTGTTGAATGACATATATATCAAGTCACAAGAAGTAGGAGGAAAAAGTCATGACATGCATTGATGGCACCAGAATCCGATTCAAGATTTAAACTTTATGTGTTCAAAGTTTAACTACGAATTCATATTCATTGTTTACCGTACTTCAAAAGTATTGAATTCATATGAATCCGATTATCCATCCAAACATTAAAACCACAAGGAATACAAACATTTCTACAGAAAAGTTGGCCATGAAAGTGAAAACAAATTAAAAGAGGAAACATTTATTACTATACCTCTCATGAATCTACTGCATTCCATGCCATAACCTACAACAACAACGACATCATTAATCAATTTGTTAAATCAAATTTCAACAAAAACCAAAAAAAATAAAAAATACAAACCATGGCAAAGGAAAACAAGAGCTTTTGGAGAAGAAAAGGGCAACCATCTACAAGTGAAGAGTTGTACACCTCTTGAATTCCTTATAAATACCTAATGCCATTGATGTAAGTAAAGACACAATTTTTATTAAGAAAAACACCATATTGTACAAAGTAAAGAAGAAAAATATGCATGCTCATTGAAGAAAAAAAGCAAAAAGAACAAAAACCCACCTCATGATATTCAACACCCATTGTATATTTTCAGAAAAAATAACCAAATCCCAACTCAGAAATGTGACTCAACATTCATGGGTAAGTAACAGATCTGTGTATTATGGCCTTATAGATGCAATTATTTTTACAGAGAAAAAGTGATTATTGATACGATAAAAGTATAGTAAGATATTGAATTCTTGGAAAACAGGGAGAGGGATAAAGTGGACCTGAGAAGTTGGAATATATACAGAAAGATATAAATAGATAAATATATAAGATATGATGAGGAGAAGTGTATTCGGGGATTTTTAACCTTATATTTATATTGAAGTTTGATTAAATTAAAATTTGCAATTTAATTTTTTTTTGTACTAAAAAATTTAAATTTAAAATTTCTAATTTAGAATAAAGTAAAAATTACTGTATACGCACAAAGATTTAAACTCGAAATATTTTATTTTCAAAAAGATTTGGATCCAAAAACTCTTTATATTCAAAAGACTCAAATTCGAAATCTCTAATTCAGAATGAAGTAAAAATAACTCAATACTCAAATAGATTTGTAGTTGAAACTTCTTTGTAAAGATTTAAATTCAAAATCTTTAATAAAAATAAGCTGCTAATATTTAAAAAAACTTAAACTCGAAATATGTTAATAAATGTATTTTTTTATTTTGATTGATAAAAGGAAGCTTCCAAATTTGTGAGGTAACGTGGCTGACTGGCTAAGCCCATCCTTTTGCTCTTCTCCAGAAGTTTAGATTTCTATCATTGTTAAACATACGTACGTGTAAACATTTTAATTCTCATCCACGTGATGCAGTGATTGAATTATTTTATCGTTATTTAAAACTTTTGGATCTAAATTCTAAAAGCACCATCTTAAAATAAGTTTTGTAGAACACAATTCAAATTTAATCGAAATTATATGAATTCTAAAATTGAATATAAAAATTAAAAAAATATTTAATCCTACAATTCAATTTATAAAGAACTATGTGTTTGATTGTTAGTTAAATATTTAAATATTGATTAGGTATTTAAATTTGAGTGTCTAGTTTTATATATATATATATATATATATATATATAAAATTGAAAGATAATTAATACAAAAATGATAAGTTTATTTTATTATTTTTTAATATAATAAGTTTATTATTTTAAATAATACTTAATAATAAAAATGAAACAAATATAACATATATTATATTTTAAATTAAACAAGTTAAAAAATATAATTATAAATAAACAAATAAAAATAAACGAAGAAAATTAGTTATATAATGTAACCCAGAATATATATATATATATATAGATGGACATATTTGTTTTCTTTGTGTCTTGGATGTCCAACGTATATAGAATGGACATCTTCTTTTCTTTCCTTTAGTTATTTTTTACTAGAATTATTGAAAATATAATTTTTTGATAATTCAGTTATTTGGGTTTGAGATTGTTATATTAAAGGTCTTAAGTTTGAAAATTTCTTAAGTAAGAAATTTATCTTTTATATTGAGTTTATTGTACATGAGCAAAAATTTTAATCCGTATACATCTAAATGAAAACATATCAAAAATATATAAATTATATTTAGACTATATTAAAAATAAATTATTATCAAAATATGTGATATAGTGAACAAATTGTCCCTTTTGTAATTAAAGGTCTTTGATGTATATAAATTTCTTTGGTAGAAAGTAAAAATCTAAAATTATAAATTTATTTTAATGACCTTATCTTCCTCCAATTTGTCTTTCCCATCTTTATCACGAATCCCAATGTTTTGTATATTTAATTTTATCTATTAATTTTGCCCATTCTTTTGCTTATCCATTTAATATGCGACATCAACTAATTTAGCCATTTCCCCATGTGTGCATTCCATTCCACCGGCCACCCTTTTAAAAAAAAGAAATTGTTTATACTCGTAAGTTTAGAATATATATATTGCGAAGATAAAGATATTGAGTAGAGTCGTCAATATGGATTTATATTTGTTGGGTTTAACTGAATTAATTTGAAATTTATTAGGGTTGAATTATGATTTTTGGAGTTCATTTGAGAAAAGGATTTTTTTAGCCCGACTTGAATAAGTCTGCTTTTGTGGAGCTTGAAAAATATTGATAGGGCCGGCTCGTGGATCAATAAAAATAAATTAAAAATATAATATAATATTAAATTTTAAAATTAAGAAAGTCCAAACTCAAAACAATTAGATTAATATTTCTATTTAGATATTTATATTTTTACTTTGAAAGAAAACTTAATAAGTATTATAAAAATAATTTTAATTGTGAATTTGATTAAAAAGTAGTAACATTAACATCATGTAATATTATTTTTGTCGATATTTATGATATATTTTTAAATTATAATTTACAATTTAATTTAAAAATTTTAAATTAATATGATTTCTAAAAAAGTGGACTGGCCCAACAAGAATGTAGCCCACGTACTTGTGGATTGAGCCGGCCGTTTTCTGGCCCACACCAAAAAAGGGGCTAGCCCGGCCTGACACGTAAAGTGTCCAAGCCTGTATGGGTTAGCTCGGATGAGGTGGGCTAACCCATATAAACAGCTCTAATATTGAGATAGTTATGTTAATATATTAGGATTGCTAAAATTTAAAATGAAATTATTTAAAGGAGATTGAAAATAATTTTTATAACGAATATGATTTAAAAAAATGAAACTAAGATGATTTTGACATATGCAAAGAAGATGTGTTGACGTTTTCGTGAGGAAGTACGAGAGGGGGTACATATAAGGTAATGCAAGGATCGAAGAAGGATTGAAAAAAAAGTGGTTTGACATGACATGACGTAACTTCATATTATTGAAGACATGTATAACTTTAGATCAAAATTGGCGGAGGTTAAGTATTAGGGTAGAAGGTTGGTTAGGTTGGAGTGTTGCCTTGTTGTATATAGGTTTAAGGCTTGGTAGTGTTTGTAGTACTACTAACACTTTTAGTTTGTGTGTATTAATTGTGTTTTGACTATTGCACTATTTTATTGTTGTTATTGTTTCTTTCTTGTAGGCTTTACACTCTTTTTTTTAGTTACGGGCCATATTTTTGATTGGATTTAATTTGATGTAATTGAGCCAACTTTTTCGAGAAAACAACCTCTCTACTTTTATAAGATAATATCATCATCATAATAAGATTAGTAAATGCATTACCCTTTTTAGGCTTATACTAAATAATTTTTTACTAAATATGTTATTATTATCGGACTTTTTGTTCATTTTTAAAAATATATAATTTAATAGCTCCTTCATAAATTTCACTTATTTTTTATAAAAAAAATATAGATACGTAAGTTTAATTACAGATCAAATAAAAAGCTTAAAAAAAAAACCGTATATTTTGAACACATGTGCACGTAAGGCCAACTGAGCGAAATACATTTTATTTCTAATATTTTATTAAGTGGATTAATTATTGGATAACTTAACAAATTAAAACATAATAAATACAATTCAAAAAATATAAACTCAATTAATTTTGCATTGACTTGTCAATAATCTCTAAAGTTCATATGTCAAATTCAACTACAAATTAACGATTGAAAACCTCATTCATCAACTCAAATCAAAAGAAAGAACACTATAAAATTTATAAAATAATTGCAATTTTTTAAATTTGTAGTAGGCTGGATCGAATTTATAGGCAAAATACAGGGTATGTGAACCAATGATTTTTTCAATTAATTATGCGTTTTATCTAGTTATCTATGTCTTTTTCTGATATGTATTATATAATATTATCTGTTGACACTCATGCTACAAAAAGATTAAATGGTATACTTGAATATTAAGTTATTTACCAAGAGAATCACGTACGGATTCTCACTTCATACACGCTTCTCCCTTTTTAAGCGATGTAATCATATTCTAGAAAATCTGAATCCGCTAAAGTATAAAAATCTCGATTCATTTATCGTTCATCGTTTGATTTTTCTCAGGATATACAAGACTTTTCTACAGTTCTTTGGGATGGGCCGTAGAGTGATTCAAACGGGCCTTTTAATTCGTGAGGCCCATTAATTTGAAGGAAAGTGAATTTTTTTTGTTCACATCTCATTTCTATTTTTTAGAGAAAAAAAAAATTAGGAAATACTTCATTCATTTTTATTTATTTGATATTTAAATTAAGTATTGAATTTCTTTCTCCCCGTTTTAATAAATTTAAAAAATTACTGCTTAAATTAATAGTAATCAAATTTAGAGTTCTAAAAAATCTTAAATAAATTACATGTAACATACAAAATCATTGTGATATCAAATTATCAATCTCTTGAATAAGAGATTTTATTTGATAAGATCAAATATATTTTCGAAGAGACTAAATTGCTAATAAAAGAAATTATTAGCAATTTTATATAATAAAAAGTTTCTAAAAAAACGTTTTTAAACTTACGTAGTCCATTAGATTTTAATCCGAGGCCACCAATTTTATTAATTCATTTTCCGAATTAAATAGTAGAATAATTAATAAATATGATAATTTTATGTATATATTGTCATTGATAAATTTTATATATATTATCATTAACAAAACCAAAATTCAAAAATGAATATTTCTTCCTTTAAACATGAAATATTTAATTAAATTTTACACGAATCAAAACTAAAATTTATCAACAATTAGAATCCAAAAATGTTATTGGTGAATGCCTCAAGTTAGCAACGCCTTGCTAGCGAAAGCAAGAAACTTATCTTCTGGGTCAAACTCTTCACATCAAACTTGTTTAATATAATTATTATTTTTGCAAGTTATTGAAATATAAAATTTACCATATACGCACCCAAATAATAGCACGGCTAGTTCTAACTCATCACATCACAAGGGCTATTGGCCTGTAACTTAAAAATGAAACGGGTAAAATTTGTTTAGGGTCGGGGCGACGGGTCAAATAGGAAGAGGAACGAGGAAAACCCTAATTAAATATAATCATCCACTTCCATACACTCGCAGTCGGCCGCCGTCGAATTTCTCCCGTATGTATTTTCCAACTTTTTCTCCGGCGATGAACATGAGCTTTGTGTTTGAGATCTGACGATTTTTGTTTTGTTTTCAGTATTTGAATAGCAGCAGAAGAGAAATCAAGAGCGTAAAGATGAGCCGAGCAGCAGCAGCAGTGAAGGGCGGGAAGAAGAAGGGGGCAAGCTTCGTCATCGACTGTTCGAAGCCAGTGGAGGACAGTATTATGGAGATTGCTTCTCTTGACAAGTTCCTCCAA